TTGGGAAACAAGTACACCGTAAAAGCGTGCAAGGGCAACTGAAAAACTTGGACAACGGTGTACAACAGCTGCTGTGAAGACCAAGCCTGCCTTGGGATGAACTGTGGACGCAGTGTGAACGCGGGAAAAACACTAGCCACACAAACACCCCTGCTAAGGCCGCGAAAGGAACCAAGGGAACTGGAAACCTGAAACTTATCTGGGAAAGGGTCCGAACAAGACAAGTAGTAGCCAAAACCTTGAGACTCGGAATCGAGAGCAGGGAGCGATCTCTTCGTGTGGGACGTCTCACTGAATGCAACAACCTGGCTCTCCCACTCACGCACCAAATCCCCTTTGCCCAGAAGCTGGGTAGGGTTTGTTGTTGCAAAACGAAGCGAGACCTATGGAGCGGCCACCCTCCTGCCTTCAGTTGTGGTGACTTCGAGGACACCTGGGCCGTGCGTGGCAGTAACCCTGAAATGGATTGCCAGTAAACTGAAGTGCCTGCATTGAATGAGAGAGATACCTGGAAACACTCAACAACACAGTTACCAAAGTTGATTTCAGGAGAGGGTGGAAGCCGAAACCGGCTCATCCGGGAGGAACACCTGGGGCAAAACCACCCTTGACCATCGAAAAAACAAGTCGGGCAACACTCCCCCTGCACCATGTACGCTCTCGCAGTCACGAGTTGATGTGCGGGTGCCTGCATGTGAACCTGAAATCGAGTCTCATGGCTCCTGTACACTACATCGGCTCCAAAGTCAGCCAAATTGAGTCCCTAAATGCCGCTAGCAAGGCTGTCTCAGGCACTCTCAGTTCCTCTCGTCCAGGCAATGGTACCGAGTCCAGCATGACGTATGGTGGGTCCAACTCGACTTTTGCTTCGACGCAAGGCTGCGACCAGATATTGGGTGAGATGGTCGGCGCAGTGTCATTCTTGGTCTCGTCGATGCAAGTTGCTGGTATGCCAGATGAATCAAAGCTACCCTCAGGCACTGAAGGGCAAATCTGGGCCAGCGGTACTTCTTGATCAGCGTCTTGCACTTGAAACACACCCAGCGTAGACTGGGAATCAATTGCTGTCGGATTGCAACACTGGATGAAGCCCAGGGTCTCGCCTTGTCCAGCGTCAGAGGGGCCAACAGACTTGATGTTGTCTTCGTCCTGATCGAGGGCTGTGGTCAAGGCCTCCACAGGACGCATAATCATGGACGACATCCTCAGGCTTGATGGAAAACTCTAGACAGCTCTTCCAGCGCAATGCTTCTCCATCTCGAACTTTTTTGTAGCACGCGAAGGTCTCAGCAGGAAACCCTTTGGCAGAAAAACTTGCAGTGTCCTCACCAATAGCAGCGCCAGAGGCACAACGCAGCCATGGCTTCGGGACAGGTTCCGAGTGTCCGAGAGTCTGACAACCTGAATCAGAGTGGACCGCTTGCCGGGAGGGGTACTGAACGTCGAGACAGACAGTGGAACCTGAACTTGGAGCAACCACGTGAGAACACTCAGGGGTAACCGCACGCACACCTTGAACGACAGGGTCGTCAAAGGGACCAAAAGGGACCGGACCAAAGATGTGACCGACCTGACAAGTTCCAGAATCACAATCAACGGGGGTACCTGAACAGTCCGAAGGAGGACAATCAGTGCTTTTGTCCTTGGACTCATTGCCTGAATTGGCTTGAAATTCAGGCCTAGTTCGCCTTGCTTCTGGTTTGGACCGCGCAGCTGGGCTGCAACCCCTACCTTTTTCATTGCCTCCCTCTTGATCGTCACGATCCTCTTTTTTGGGTGCCTGCTTGGGATGTTCAGCAACGCCTGGGGCACCACGTTGAACCTTCAAGAAGACGTTGGCCGTCTTGTCATTGCATTCAACATCCTCAAGTGCAAGGGACCAATGACTGCCATAACTCAACAGGGAAAGTATGGATTCACGACTGAACCTGGACATCACATTTCCCAAATCCGTGACATTTCCAAAAAAACATAGGATCCTCATCACCGTTAAGAACAACAAAGTTCAAAGTGTCCAAGGCCACCGGAAATTGACTTTGTATCGGGTTCAACAAACGAATCAACTGGGTTGGGATTTTGGTAAGACCTGGCGGGGGACTGAACGCCAACGCGAACTTAGGGGTGGACGAGGTCAATGCATCACCAGCCGACCCCGTCGGTTCATCCCATCGGGATTTCCTTCTGCGTTTTGGCTTCTCCTTCTCGGCCTGAGGTGTTGGATCCAATTTCCTTTTTAGGATCCGGTGTTGTCGGTCGCATGTTACGAAACTCGGGTGGGACTTGTGGGTCTTCGCCAGTTTCCTGATTCTGTCTGGACATTGGCACCTTACCAACATCAACATGAAACGCAACCGAATTGGTGTGCACCTTGTTAGGAAAGGATATCTCCAGCACAGCTTCAGTTCCTCTCAGCGTCAAAGACAGGGGGTCTTTCAACCAAAGTCTCAAACGCTTACCTGGCAAAAGCACGGCCCCATAGTGGAATGGATCTCCTGTGTTTTTTGCTGCAACTATGACCGATGACCAAACAGCTTCAAGCAGTTCTTCACCTGCTGACTCTTCTTTAAGCTCAGCCATCTTTGTGGCGATGCATTCACCTCTGAATGTGACATAAACTGCCACCTTCCGCAATGCGGGCAGCTCAACACGTTCAACCTCTGGGTCGGACAGGGGAGCACTGAAAGTCGCAGGTCCGAAAACACCTGAAAGGGAACTCGGAAGGATCGGGCAGATGGGCCTGGGGAGAGCCAAAGTGGTGGCCAACAAATTCTCGACGTCAACTGGTCTAGAAGCCTGAACTGGGGTTTGCGTCCACCGGTCAAGGGCAGGCAGTGAACCAATCAACTGTTCGTCACGGCGGCACTCATAGGGGAAGGCTCTAGGGTCAAGACCAGCCGCCCTGAATAAACACCTAGAAGGGGCATCTGGCGGATCACCTCGAAAACGACAGGGGGTTCCCCCGCCGAAAACTCCCCTATGAAGTTCAAAAATGAACGCACCCGGGGTTCAGACAGGATGTGGGTCCCAAACTGCGCATCCAAACAGCCATCAAGCGCCCGCCTTCTGGCCCTGATGCAACCTAAGTTACAAATCTGACTGAGAAGCCTGATCGCCCTGCAGTACTCAGTAAGAAATGACAGACCGGGGCGCTCGTCTGTCAACCTTTCCAACCACACCGTGTCCATGGGGAACCACCAGCGGAGGCAGAACAGATGGAACGGAGACAACGGGTCCAAAGACCAAAATGACTCTCGAACACTCGGAGCAGTCCAGCCTACCCGCGCGGAGGGGGTTCGAACCAAGGCTGTTTTAAAATCTACAAAACACGCAGGCTGGACAGGAGCCATGAAGATCCACCATCCCGCACCATGTGAAATGGTTAGCATGCATCCTTCAGGAACCTCAACAATAAACCATCCTCGATTTTACCAGAAATGGTTGGTATAAACCATCCCCACTTGGATGGTAAAAATGCCTGGGTTCGGCGGCTAAACCTCACAGTTGGAAGCATCACTCGGCTGGACTCCAGACCAACAGCTGGATGCTGGCATGATCCCAGATTTTAGATCACTGGTTCGTCCATGAGGTCCAAGAATAAGCCAATCCCTAGATACCTCACCCAGATATGGATGATGACTTCAGATCATCCCTGTCATCCCGTTCATCCCGCGGCTCTGAGAACTCGACCTGCTTGAGCAAATCCTGGGTGGGAAACCGGGGGTGGCTCACTGAGCTCATTGACATTGCTTTTACCTTTAGGCAAGGTGATGTTTAATTGGAGTTTGCGGTACAAATATACGACTCTCCGTTGAATGGGAAAAAAACCAGAAACAAACTTTACCGTATCATTAATCTTACAAACTAAAGTTCAGTCAGTGTACCATTGGATCGTGGCGGACGGTGGATGCGTGATCTGAACACTGCTGCAGTTGTTGCAGCAGACATGTTGGTACTAGTACTATTCAGATCTATTGACCTATCCACCCTAGCGACTTTGAGTCTGACAGGTGGGTATGGCTCAAGAACGGGGCACCTCACGTTACTGGCCCTTTTGCTGTCGAATCATGATGGTTCGCTTTATGTTCATCCAATGCCAAGACAGAATGAACTGCAAGAGCAAACCAGAAAAATAACGCCTTGACAACACCAGTCGCAATACGAAGATAAGGGGGAAGAAGAAAAGAAAAAGGTCAAGAACAAGAACAAGAAGATGCTTCTTGAATCCTCGCTATCCTGTGCAAACCCAATTCAGATCACGCACCTGGACCCTCCAGAAACATCAGCGACATCTTACTTTTTCTTAGGGGCATCATTGGGGCGTGAATGTGTGACTGAAAGTTTTCTGTTTTTGCCGCGACCCTAAACTTTAAAACCGCTATTTATGTGTATAGTAAAAGTCGTTAATATATCTATATGCCAAATTTTGATGATGGTAGCACTCGGAATGACTACACAAAGGTGCTGTTTTATAGACCTGCCGCCAAAAATGCAGCTTTGATGGCTGGGATATGACCATGGCTGAGGTAGTCTGATACTGGGATAGCATGATGCTATGATGCTGGGATAGCATCCTGTTATCATGTCATGCCAATAAAGGATGCGGTTCTCAATAACGATCCCTAGGCTGGACTAAGCGTCATTCTGGTAAGGACGTTGTGAGGTCACCATACCTGTAGTTTACCAAAAAGAAAGATTTCTGATTCAACTGCTTCTTTTCACACCGCTGCACGTTTCACAAACTGCACAGGACGGCGCGGCAGCTGTACAAACGCCCCACTGCTCAGTGGGGCACATAAACGACGGTCAGCTCGTTTGGCTAGGCCTCCTACAGACTCCTACAGTGGTCCAATCTGAGCATTGCCCAAACCTTCACTGGTTGATAGGGATTCGGAGAGTAACAACAACAATGGCAACAACAGAAATAATAAGATAACAATAGGAACAACAACAACAACAACAATGATCTCTACAAGTTTAATCTCATGTATCTATTAACCAACAGAGGGTTGAGGAATTGCTCAAGTCATGCCTGGAACCACACAGGCAACATGGTTTAGACCTTGGATCGAAGCGATCGAAGATCGACTGAGGGACCAATCGAAGCATTGACTGAAACTGAAACGGACACATGAACGGTGTTCAAGACCCTGCACCATTCAAGAAAATATTGGGTTAGTTGATAAGGATTACTGTCATCCCGTGCGCTAATCAACGAACAGGGGTTATGTATGAACATTGCTCACATGGCAGAACACGGCAAACGCAGTATGTGGGCTGGTCTCTGCAACTTTTACTTCGCCACAAACGAGCCTATTGGTAGTTTAGCAAATAAGACACAAAATGGATGGTCTTAGATTTGCTTAAGGAACTTCCAAAAAATAAAACATATCCACTGTGGATTCCCCAAGTAATGGATTTACCATTGGGAAAATCAGCAAAGTCATCAGCAAGTCACACTCCACAGGACCGGCCACGGGTTCACCGAGTCACTGCTGGTCATCATTTCTGCTGCTCGGAGGAATCGCTAGCATCAGAGGTACCATCATCAGTCGACTCCTGAGAAAAAAACTGACATGGCTGATATTCTGCTATGGATATGTAGTACTAATATAGTTATAGTATAGTCTTACTATGGATCTAGTAAGTATAGGCATGATATAGTTGTAGTTATATAGTTGTAATTGAATATATGCATGTATATAACAATGCATGAATATGTGCACATATGTATATAGAAGTAGTTGTAGTATTGATATGGATATAAACTGACAAAGGGATATAGTTTTTTAGTATGGAGATATATGCACACGTGTATTCAACTGACATGGATAGTCGTAATGAATAGTTTATACAATATATATATATATAGTGTATAGTTTAATGACATGGGTATCTGGTTGGGCACTAAGACTGGTGATAGCAAATGGAAAAAAGAACTGCTCATATTAGACACCGACGAGTTTAACCATGGTGGATGTAGGGGTGAAATCACCTCTATTCGGTACCATACAATGCGGTGTTTAATAGTCTCATATTTGAGGAATGGGATTAAGAATGATGAGAGCAAATGGAATTACAATGAACGATAGCATCAACCATTGGCAATAGTCGTCACAATGATATCATGCTGATAACAGTAACAACGAAGATAATAGTATCAGTTACAACATCATAATGTATGGAAGCCATTAGAACTGCTGATATTGGCTTATCCTCTGACGTTGGTTTTGACTCTATTCTGCTCTTGGGCAAACCCCAAGGGTCTGTGTGTTTGACTCAAGATCTAAACCCACTGAAATGAATGTTTTCGGTCATATTGGAGATATCATTGGGATGTGACCATCAAACATGTTGGCACCGTGCATCACTTACCTTATGGTTATTTAACATAGCCATGGAAAATCCATTATAAATGGAGGTTTTAATGGGAAAAACATCTATAAATGGGCCATCTATACCATGGCTATGTTAAATAACCAGAGGGTACATGTAATGGCCATGCGGTCGACCCAAGAATTCGACATCAACATCCAGAATTACCAGAACGGGAACGCATAGTATGCTGTTGAATTTACCACGCCAGCTAGCAACCAAAGTTTGATGTAGCTGAAGACGGTCAATCCAATAGCCGTATTGGGGATTGAGTGGGGTTATCATAGGAACGCCCTAATTCCAAAGATGAAACCCAATTGAGTATGGCTCGTTGTTCTCGTCATGTTCTTATGTTAAAACCAACAATAAACATCAATAAACCTGACCATTTTTTACCAAGTCAGGGGTTGAAAAAGCAACAATTCATCAAAAAATCCATCAAAAGCTCGAGTGATTTTGGTTGAGAAATCCCAATACTCGATTGCATAAGCCCCAATGGCGAGTTAGTTAGTCCCAACCTCCACGTCCTCCTCGTCTTCTCCACAGAACGTCAAGGTTGGCACCTCACTGAGATTGGGAGACGGACAATCATCCATGGGCGAACTGGGCGAACCATGAATTTCCCAAGTTTTACATGGCCATTTGAAGCTATACACTATCTTTAGACACAATCATATATAGCCACAAAAGTTGAGTTTGTTGGGGATGTACTACCTGGTTTCATAGGGGTGATGATAGTTCGCCGTTGGAACTTCGTGTGAACACAGCAGTAAAAGGAGCCATAAATCTCAAGTCCCGCAGGGGCGCCTGGGTCTGACGGCCCAAAGGACATGCTTCAAAGGTCCAACCCTCCAGGGGCGGACGCGTCCTGGGGCAAGGGATCCCAAGAAACATGGAGAGTTTTTACCCGCCCCAACACAAAGTTGCGCTTGCACCAAAAAAAACAGTAGTTGACCGCTTGACCCGGAAAAATTGAGCTTCAGGCGGCAAAAGCTAGGGTTTTGGTCTCGAAAAACTTGGGTTTAACACACAAATTTGGGTAAGTTTGACAGAAAACGGGCATGCATATATATGTGTATATATATATATACCCGACTATACATGACCATACCTTACCATACCTGGATTTTTATCAAATGTAAAACCATGGTGAATCGTGAAGAAAACACTCATAGGATGGACAACATGGGGGTTTGACTTAGTCCCCGCCAAAATAATGGTAGATCACGGACCAATAAGCTGGGAAAATTATGAAGTACCAAACTGGTTGTATCTGTGGAAAGAATCCAAGCAATCTGCAATTGTGGGGCCCACCCCCTTCTGCATGTTTTTTCAATCCGATTTCGTTGGCTAAAATCCAGTTTGTTATTTTAAAACCATGCTTTTGACGATTACTGTACTTTTTATGTATATCTTCACTGCCGCTAAATCCAAATCCGCTAAATCCAAATGGTCAAGCCGCCATTTTCTTCCGTTCACAGCAAGAGCAAATGTTTCACGGTTCAGCGCCCGAAGTTTGATGTTTCAACATCCATTTCTTGTTTACATTTCAGTTCTTGCTGATCAAATCAGAGTTTCTGCTGGTTGTCCGTCTGTGTGGATAATATCCCAAATCATCTTCCACTTGGTGATGTTCCAAAACAAAAAAAAACACCAAAAAGTCTGTGGCTTCACAAATCATCTCAGTCTCCCCGGCTGTTTGGTCAAATCCACCACGTCAACACGTCCAGTGTCCCGCTTCCCGTACCGGTCCCAACGGGGGTCCCGTCCCGGTCCCAGGGCGGTCGGTCCTGAGGTCGCTCTTCACCCGATAGAAATCCCCATCCGAGCGGCTGAGGTCGCCCTCGCGGGAAAAGTACCTGATGTTTGACCCTGATTTCCGATTCAGATCAGTTATATAAGTCCGCCCACACCGCTTTGGCGGTGAAGGCGTGCTTATTGGGGGGCAACAGCAACACTAAATGCTCAATGACATTTGTTAATATAGCAGTCGCTATATCAGCTTTAGCTGGGGGGGGGCCAAAAACGGTTTCGCACCGAGACCAGAATACGGTGGTGTTTTCGACATTTTTCGAGGATTTTTGGGTGTCTGAGCGCAAGAGGGTATTGAAATGGAATTTTGGGTCATTTTGGTAGCTTTCCGGCAAGGGAAAAACGGCCAAAAATGAAAAAAACATTGTACATAGCAAGATTTTGCAGGGTTTTTGGATGCCAGAGCATTGAAAACACTGCAAAAACAAGTGTTTTGGACTGACGTTATAGCAAAAAACGTGTAAATTACCGTATGCTTGACTGGAAACATTACAAAAACACTGTCAAAAGCAATGTTTTGGAAGGATTTACTGCCTTTATGGCAAAAAACGTGTAAATTACCGTCTGTTTGACTGGAAACATTGGAAAAACACTGTCAAAAACCATGTTTTGGAAGGATTTCTTATTGAAACTTCTTAGCCTGAAGAGCCCCCACGGGGGAAAACCACCCTTAGCCCCTCTCACGGACCGAAATAAACCTGCGGTGTGGGCGGCCACCCCACGCGAAGCGGGGTGAATATATATATATATATATAGTCATGATAATTAGTCGAGGTAATGTATTCTTATCACATATATCGAAATCGGAATCGGACTAATTATAGTTCTTATATATATATATGTATATATATAGAGTTATATAGTCGTGATAATTAGTCATAGTAATAGTAATGAAATCTACATGTTACTACTATTGTTTAAGTATCATTAATAGTTATATTACTCAGGTTTGATGGGGATGGCAACCAGAAGAACAATCGTCATGGGCGGAAACTCAGCAAATGATCATCACAATAGTGATATATCAATATTGATAATAATTGGTAATAATAATCTATAATGATAGTTACAACAAGGGTAGATGTTACCATAATCGTGGGATGTTCAGCTTTACAGCTGGGAAGGCCATGGAACCAAATGGATGTTAACAGGTGGGGCACCCGAAGGATAGCTAAGTTGATGCAAATTGCTCCAAGAACTAGGGTTTGTGGTAACTACAACTATAGTTCATGGGGTCTATAACTGACAAACATGACTGGGGGACCCACCTTGTAGTCATATGTTCTTTAAGAGCCCAAAACGAGACCACCCAAAAATAAGGAAGATTTAGTGGCATTTAGTGAAATTTAAAGGGTTGAAAATTTACAGTAGTTGGATTTAGCGAAATTTAATGAAAAATAATGAAAAATAATGAAAATTAATGACATCGTTTAGTGAAAAATAATGAAACATATATAATGAAAAATAGTGAAAAATACTGAAAAATAGTCAAATATAGTGACATTTAGTGAAAAATAGAGAACCATAAATGGTGATAGAGATAGTGACCAATAGTGGCACATGTTGAAGCCTAGTGAAACATAGTGAAAAATACGGACAATTTAGTGAAACATATGCGATGCATGGGCTCGTTTTGCCCGGGCCCTGTCTAGCCATACATGATGTAGGTATGTTCGAACAATGTTCAATGAGTTATGATATGCCGCCTTAACCTGTGACTAAATATGTACATTATAGACATATATATATAATGGTTATAAACGAATAATAATGATAATAATCATGAAATGACCCGTCTTTTTTCATACGGTATATATACATATATATATATATATGTACATAACTATGTATATAAATCTAATTATGTATATATATATATATAATTATGTATATATATACATATATAATTATGTATATATATAATTATGTATATATATATGTAATTATGTATATATATGTACATATAATTTTGTATATATATATATACATATAATTATGTATATATATATTATTATGTATATATGATATTATGTGTATAAATAATGATGTATATACATAGTATATGATGTGCATATATACATATATATAAATACAATTATGTATCTACATATAATTATGTGTATATATATAGCTATGTAGACATATGTATATATATATATGATTATGTATATATATAATTATGTATATATGTAATATTATCTGTGTATATATATATATTCGAAGCGCCCCCCCCAGGACCCCCGATAATGTATGTTTTACACTTTTTCTTTGGACATGTGTGTTTTTTGATGAATAGGGCCAGAGTAAGAAGCATGTGTATCTAGAGAGAATTCAACACATATATCGAACGTATACTATGGTATACTGAACACATATGAAAGGTTTATATGCATGTATTCATGGTTTAGTAAAGGCAAATAAAACGGCATTTTAGATCATGTATTACACACATTGATATATTAAATACGAATTGCATTATTTAATTGGACATGAAATGGTAAAAGAACATATATATATATATGTACTATATATATATATTAATGGTATTTAAAAGGCAACTGGAAATCAAATTTCGTTGGTTAAGAAAGGTATTGTAGAGGTATAGTACAGGCACATTTTATAAAGATACTTTAATGAACCATACAATTGTATGTTAAAGGTAACCTAAAGGTATCTTAAATGCGACATTACAGGTGTATTAGATTGTATATTAAAGGTATATTAAAGGTATATTAAAGGTCTATTAAAGATATTTCCTGGTCAATGACATGGTATACTGAGGTATATTGCAGATAAACCAAACATATATTCTTTGTATATTACATGGTATGCTACAAACAAACTCAATGGTAAATTACAGGGATATTAAAGGGTATAATACAGGCATATTGCAGGTAGATTAAGGGAATATGGTATATTCAAGGTATACTCGTGCTATATGAACCGGTATGCTGCAGGTATATTAAATGGTATATTAAAGATATTTATTTTGACGGTATTTAAGGTATATTATTAGAGGTAGATTCCTCGTATATCAAATGGTATGCCAAAAGTATATGAAACAGTATACTAAAGGAATCTCAAAGGTGTACTAGATTGTATTTAAAAGGCATATTCAAGGTATACTAAAGGTATATTGAAGGTTTATTCAAGATATTTTCATGGTCAATAAAATGGTAAATCAAAGGTATATTGAAGCTATAATCAAGGTATATTCATTGTATATTACATATGGAAGTTCCTTGGTCCCAGCACAAAGTGAGTGCTGAATGTATCCAAACATCTACAACCTTGATACTTTCTACATTTTTCTACAAGATTTTTAACTGGAATCTGCACTGCGGGTGTAATGCAAGCCACTTGAGTTAGGTTTCAGGATTAATAGTTTATGCATTGTAAGACTGCAGAAGGAAAGGGTGAGTCCACTCATTGGTCGAATGCGTTTGGAGTAGTGCTTGGACATCTTGGGATTCTGTAAAAGAGCAGGGTGGCATATCTTTATAATATGCCACTTAATTTCTGGGGGGCGGTGACCACATATTATATATATGTATATGGTGGTATATGTTTGGGGAACCAGATATCATATGTTCACACTATCATATGTTCACACTTGGGATATCGTATCAGATCAAACAAAGATGGGAACCAACAAAGGGGGTAGAAGCAGCCAAGAAATTCGGGTTTTGGTCAAGATTTGTTGGACCCCGAGCGATATGGACGAATCATGGGCCAAGATCTATTCTTTTTCCTGGAGAGGATCTTAGAGGTGGAAGTGCATTTCACCCTACCCTGAAAACTCACAAATTGGGATTTCCTCTTGCCCTGTGTTGTCAACCAAAAGCTCCAGCTGGAGCTGTAAAACGCGCACAGATCTTCCACGCCAAACTCTCGTACCCTGGTTTTCACGCCCAAATTGCCAGTACTCACAGATGTTCATCCCCAAAAGAATATCCCAAAAATAACCAGGTTTTTGACCTATCCCCACATCACATCTAGGAGCTGTGTCAGGTTTCAGTCATCTACGACCTGCCATGGCATGCCAGCTGCTGGGCTGCCATGAATCCCATCATGAAATCATGGGGAGACACTAGTTGGACCTGCATTCCATCAATGGTGCAATGGTGTTGCTGAAGCTAAAGGGGGCACGCAAATTCTGGTGCATCATGTCAAGATGGTCCAGAAATCCCAACATCTCCACAACCCTCAGTGCTATGTTACCACGCTTCATTCTTGGGCTGTGAAATCCTTAGACATCATCGAACCCACTGTAGAACTGGGGACCCTGATCTTTGCTTGTTCGCTTGAGCATCTTTAGCAAAGTCCTTTTTCAACTCCATTGTAAGAGGCTTCCATTGCAAAATATCTATATAACCAAAAAGAAATCAACATCAATCAACTCAAAGATCATAGATGGCACTGGTAGATCTATGACATCATCATCCCAATGAAAGAAAACACCAATCCTCAAGCCATCTCTCCCTCGACCGGCCGAGGTTCCAGTAACAAGTGCCTCGTGCCTTGGAGAATCCCGAGAACATGTGGGGAATATTTTATGAAATACGATATGATGTGTATATATATATTATGATGTATATATATATATGATAAATATTATGTTGTATATTTATGCTATTATGTACAAATATAAGTATACATTAAAAATAGTTATACCATAATATATTTACATTAATGTGTTTACCATAATATAAGGGATGCTAATATATATATATATATACATATACATATAACATGGATCATAGCCAACAATTGGAAAGCGAGATAATAGTGTGTTCCTTTGGGGGTTCCCAGCTGACTTATAATGACAATCCTGATCATCATTCATAGATTGGGTGGTACAACCATGGTTTTGGTAGCCAAGTCCAGTTGAGGGATATCCAAGTTTTACGTATACCAAGTAGCTTTCCAGAGACTGGTGCTTTCATGGTGCCTAGAAATATATCAAAAGTCAAAACCATCTCAGATGCCGTGCTCACGGCTGAAAACACCTGGATTTTTTTTGAGGAAATGAGAAACCATTTGATTTTGGGGATACCTTTTATTGACCCCACATAAAACATGCCATGGTGTGGCCTGTTTTTGCATCAGATGAAATTGTGTGCTTTCACACGCGCTAACCCTGTTTAAGTCTTGAATCTGTTCATTTTTGGGCCGATATGCTGATCATTGCTGATCTTTCCCGGACACTTCCAGAGATCACACCAGGTTTAACCTGCCCTTTCGAGGCACCATGCGGTACTTGAAGAGTAGGATGCCGTTCTCATTGACGAAGATCGGCGCATCACACATCGCGCGGCCTCCGGGGGCCCTCCGGGGGCCCGTGGGAGCGATGGCAACTCAGGAGGTTTTGTGCGCTGAGAACACAGCGACTTGTGCATCCAATAACAGTACTCTCTCAGCAGACAAGATTGAAATGAGTCATCCTTTGATTGATATGCTATCATGTGGGTCTATTACTCCATTTGTAGCGGGAAAAGTTGGAAAAAACACCAGCGAACCAACCGCTCCATCCATTCACCACTGGATACTTCGCACACCTTTTTTCTCACTTCGATCCTGGTAGGGTCATTCCACTTTGGGTTTACGACATCAGTTTCCAAAAAAAGATGATGCCGCCCAATTTCAGCGACGGTCAGCGACGGTGGCTGTGGCCGTGGCCAAAAAAAAGTCAGGCTCCTGCAACCAGCTGCAAAGTCCACCAGGTAGAAATCGCAGATGGTTGGGCGAGTTGTGGGGACGGACCCCGATGAAGATGACAGCGAGCCAAGGGTTAATGAACGAGCAATCGGTGTCCAAAAGTGGTCATGCTGACATACACTTTCTGATGTTAGATATTGAGTACATACAATACATGTATATATGTGTTTCAATGTGTAACAACTACTGAAGTTACAATGCATACACTATCGAATGTATGTGAATGTATATATATATATATACACTATACAAATTGTAGCGTGTTCTATATATAGATATATACAACACTTGATTTGTAATGTAACTGTACGATATCAAATATAATATATCATCTATCGTTTATCATATAGGATATAGAGTCTAGCGTATACCATGTATATGATATGCGATGCATGACATATATGATACAGCAGTGTACTGGCTATAAGAATATGGAAACCAACATGGAAATACTGAATATTGCATGGGTTTTTACCCAATGCCCAGCAATACCAATTTTATGGGTGGCAGGTTTTTCATCCCGGGTCATAGTAGGTTTTTTGGTGTTACCAATTTGGTTTGTCGGAGTATATCCCATTAAATCACCACCATCAATCACCAGTTATATCATTATCGGGACAATATTATTGTTATCCCCAATTGGTCAGTATTATTGGTATAATATCATGTGGGATTATAGAATATATATTATATCATGTCTTATTATCCACATTATGGTCATTACCGGGATATCTTACTTCATTCACCAATTGTAAATCGGCATTATCAATCACCAACTAATTCTCACATTATCCCCAATTCTTATTGGTTTTACCACATTGTCAAGTATACCCTCTGATAATTTACCTTGGCCATAGTTAAATTGGCCATGGAAGATCATGCGGAATGTGCCTTGGACTTTTAAATATACTACTACAATTCCTGAAATAACAACGGTACGCAAAATACGAGTGCATATCGTATAATATTTGTTATATGCAATTTAATGCATCACATCATGTGTATATCTTATACATATATAATATGTACATGTATATACGTACTTAAGTCAAATACATGCATATTCATATGTTTACGTATTCATGTACACACATCCACTTGCACATAAAGATCTTCTCCATCCCCTGGCGCGGAAAAGCTGAACTTCTTCCAAGGCAAAAAAAATCTAAGGCATTCTGAAGATACGCCCGCTTGGCGGGACAGTCTCTGGGCAACATGAAAAGTGGGATGGGTAACGCAGCGCCTCAACTTGACAGACGGGCAGACTGCTGCCAACAGGCTGCTTATAGATGGCCAATCAGCCACTATGACACAAGCCTTCATCTGATGCAAACAAATAAACGGCCAATCTTCTGCCAATCTTTGGCCCGAAGAGATTGGCATCCCAAGTGAACGCGGTTGATCTCTGATTCCAAGCTTAACAGAACACGAGTTTTGAGCACATGGCTAAAAAGTTGGTTGTATGATGTTGCTTATATCCTGCTGATATTGGAACCATCCAAATCATTGGTGCTACCGAAGTCCAAGATCAATAGCATCTC